CACCATAGTTGTCAGGGCCTCCCTGACAAACCCCTCAAAGTCACCATCACTGTCACTATCACTAACTTGGGCTGGCTGTGGTGGGTTGCGGGCGAAGAAGTCGGTGATGCTACGCTGACGGCTAATGTTGATGTGGTCGTGATACATCTTGATGTACTGCTCCATACCTTGGTCTAGAAGGTTATTGAAGACTTCATATCGGTGATTGACAGGGTCTTTGGAAAGGGTGAGCTTGAGTTTCTCGGCAAACTCGATGGCATCCTTTACATCACCATGTGTTAACTTCTGTTCTCGTGCTGCCTCCTCACTGAACGTCATCGTCTTCCAACATCTCGTCGGCAGTCACCTCAGGATCCTTGATTACCTCATGATGTCGTCGTTGGTAGTCTCGGAGAAGCCTGCAGCTGTAACACTCTGTGCAGCTTCTCTTGCAAGGTCCACTGCCACTGCAACAGACTGAACCTCACCAGCCACAGGTTGACTCTGCCTCCCACCTGGGATACCTTGCAACACATGCCGCCACGCGTGACGAATCATTGCCACAGACAGCTGCCCCCATGGCTCCACCAAGAAATCAACAGCTTTCTTTACGTTAAACATTTTCCAAAACTGTTTAACTCGCACTTCATGCTCCGCCAACTCTTGTTTTGGATCCTCGTCGCCGCTCTCGCTATCTGTGCCACTCAGAAGGTTACGCAACTCATCCTTGGTGTTGGTGTAGTCGTTCAGGAGCTTAAACTTCTTTGTAGAGAATGCAGCCTTCACGTTCCATATCAACTCCTGGTCCATGGGCTGGATTAACAACGTAGTGTTGGGAGGAAGGAAGACCACTTTTACACTGGGGTGACGATCCAACAGTAGGAGCGAGTGTCCTGGTGCATTGTCAAGCAGCAACAAAATGTTGAATGGCACATAATTTTGCACGCAGAATTTCTTCACGTCAGGAACGAAACAGTCATCAAACCAGGAGAAGGACAGACCAGTGAACATCCACGCCTTATGTGAGGTTAGCCAGTGGACATTTAGCTTGGTCATGTCCATGTTCTTGTAGGCGTGCGGCTTGCGTGCTGTGTGGATCACCGACAACTTGAGCTTACAGGTACCTGAGGCATTGGTGGTAAACAGGACGGTGATGCGCTCCTGCAATTTCCGGCCCCGACACTTGCTGGCAGACTGGACAACGAAGGCCTTGGAAGGTAATTTTTTTCCAAAACAGACCGGATTCATCCAGTTGATTACCTGGTCGTCGGTGTTCTGTCCTTCCTCCATAACTTCACATAAGAATGGAGGAAAATCCATGGCGGCAGCACGGTCAGCACTGGCTCCTTCACCAACAATGTTAATGTTGGTAATGTTGTTCCTTTTCTTAAACCCTTGCAGCCACCCAGAGGAAGCAGTGAAGGGTTTGGGCTCTGCAATTCCCATCTTGCACGCCACTGATGCGTACAGTTCACGAGCGTAGTCCTGCACTGCCCGCGTGTCCACAGCCATGTTACGTCTTGCCTGACGAATTAAGTAGCTCACCATTAAGTTCTCAGTCTTGAGCAGCACCTTATTCTGACAGTACTTCACCATTGAAGCACCTGCAGACTTTGTGATGCTCATGTGTTCTTTAATCTTGGCGGCATCCTTCTTGATCGTCCGGATTGTAGATTCGTTCACGCCATGCTGGCGTGCCAAATCAACTTGTCTCGTTCCTTTCTCTAAATCTTGCACGATCTTGTACTTAACTTTGTAACTTAGGGCATTTCGTATCTTCTTGGGCTTGGGGCGGCTTGGTCCAGATAATGCAAGGTTTTTCTGGGGTGGTGGGGGTCCAGCGAATGCCATTGTTGAACAGATTAGCGAGCACAAGAGAGAACAGTATACTCGGTGACTGAGAACAATGAGGCTGACGCTGCTGGGTCAGTAGCTTCCCTCCCGTGCCAGGCTACGTCATATAACATTAGACCAATCACAGCTAGCGGCGGAGGGAGGTAAGCATGCGAGACCTAATCACAGTCCGATACGTCATATGACGTCAGTGATAAAGCAACCATATCCGCGCCGCTTCCCGGGTATGGTTGAGAATTGATCGCGTGAATAAAAAATGGCGCAGCGCGTCTGGACCTCCAGCTACTCTCCGCGTAAATGACCAAATTTACCTCGTAATTAAAGCATTTACATTCTGGCAAGGCACTGCGTAAATGACCAAACGCGTAAACAAAAACCGCGTAAATGCAGACTATACTGTATATCATGGATGTTGCCCACAAATATGTAATCTACTCTCTACCTGCATCGCCCTCCCCTAGTTATGTAATAAGTATAGTAGCCTGTAGTGTTGTACAGTACAAATATTTTGTGCTAGTTATACAGTATTGTATTTATAAAAATGTACCGTTGTTCACAGTTTCACCCCTCGGTGGACTGTACCTGTGGGCAACTGTACATATTAGTTGCTTAGGTTATGAGAGCAAATTGGAACAGATCCTTATTTATACCTAAAGGCTAATTACATTCCTTACACATTTTACCTTAAAAGTTTCCTGTGTGCAAGGCAAGGGACTACTGTATCTTTCATAGTGTTTTATTACAAACCCAGTTCACACTTTCTGTAATGGCTACCCATTATAGCAAGCACAGCACAGTAATAATATTTGCACAGTTGTACTACAACACACCAGGTTAGTTTGTAACCCAGAGGTAAACAGTACGTAAACTCTAGTACTGTGCGGTATAGTACAGGTACTGTATGCCAAAATACACATGATAGGTTGCATTTTTAGAATAATATGGAGTCGTGTTTAACAATGACAGGACATTTTACCGCCTTATAACCCTGAGATATACAGGTACTGTGCTGTATTAGAATGCTGCAAATAATGTAATTTAAGCTCTAAAAAAACTTAAGCTTGTAAACCTTAGGGATGGTAATGGATGGTTGTTGTGATCCCTGCTACTGCCTTCACATTACCCTTACATCTGATGATGGCAGACATGCTCAAGATTTATTTTTTTCCCAATTGGTGTGTACTGGTATATTCATATTCTTGTAATTAGATTTTGTGTTACTGTAATACTAGTCACTGTACATGTTTATTAAATTATTAATATAAAATGTTTATTAGCATTGTAATACTGTACTGAAATATCCAGGGAAGTATTTAGGCTAAACAATATGCCTTTATTCTTAGTGCAAGGTTAACTTTACTGATTACTGTATCAAATATTAAGAATAAAGATTTAGAAGGAAAGCAAACAAAGAACTAGAAATACACTGTACTGTTTAAGAGAGCAGTATTGAACAAAAATGATGAGTGTGTGTTGACAGAGGCAGAAGGGAACTGGCTTGTTGGCAGATTTACCTTCATTATTGGAGACTTCTGGACGATGTTCTCTGCTACCTAGCCTATATTTATATCGGGCTAGGATTATGACTAGGAACACATACAGTAACTATTTATCACTGGGGGGTTATCCTATTTAGAATTCTCTTTGGACTTTTTGGTGTACAATTCAAGAGCCTTTTTTGTTTCCCAATTTTCTTCGGGGAAACCTGTATAAGTTATAGTTTTTGCCTTGTTGATGCTTTGACTTCAGGAGGAAGTTGGGTGCCAGGTTTTTTGTCATGGGTAGTTCTGCAAGGAAAATCACTTTCATTGCCAGTAACTTAGCAGTCAGTCCTCAAAATAGTGATGATTAGGATTCTGACTCTAGGGTTCTGTCTCCTTGTTAGGTGAATTCAATTAGTTAGCTACACGTTCGTTTAACCGTAGTGTTGGTGAAGTGGAAATGTCTGACCATCCTGTGGCTAGAGGAAACATGATGTTTTCTTAGATGGTTGTATTGTGTATCTACTTTTCTTGCTTTAGTTCTGAAAATGGGGAGGGCCTAATTTCATGTCTTTTGGTATTATTGTGGAATTCATGGCTATACTGTAGTTTTTTTAACAAACTGAAAATTCCACAAACTACAGTACTTATTCAGTTAGTTCCAGTAACATTTTTGTGAACCTAGATTTTTCAAGCCTTAGTCAAGCAGTGGTAATACTGAATTGTACCTTAGTAACCCAATCTATACTGGATTGTAGAATAAGACTTTAGGTTAGGAGGGACTCGAAAATGTCTGTCAGTGAAGAGTTTTTGGAAATGTGACCAGGAACCAAGTTTCCAAAATAATGGCATGGTCAAAGACTCCCAATGAAGTCCCCGACAAAGAGCACCATCAGGTGTTACTCAAAGCTCTTGACTGCATGGCCATTTTTGTCCTTTTTACTACTCGCCTCAAGATGTGGTTGATGAAGCTGCGAGGCCAGAGCTGGGATGAAGCATTTATCTGCCAAGAGATCCTAGCCCAGTGTGACATTCTGTTCCTGAAGGACCTTGCGATTTTTCTGGACATCCCTGCACAACAAAACCCCCTAAGGCTCTAAAACCTAGCAACTGTTGCACGACAACAATGTGGATTTCTTAAGGGTCAATGAGTGGCTGGTAATTCATCAGACTTGAACATGTGCAAACATGCTAGATCTATTCTGAAGGACCAAATGGAAACCCTGATGCTTGTTGAATGAATCCCCAACCACCCAATCCTGTCTACCTTACTTTGGAGCCACTTTAGAGCTAGCAAGTTTATTTTGTAGAGAGTCTGGATCTAAGAAAACTGAAGCAGATTTCCAACTACTATACTGTATATTCACTGTACTTTATGTAAGGAAACCATAAATATACCTGTATTGGTACCGTAGAGATGGGAATAAATTCTATACCTTGTCATGCTTACCAATATCCCCCCCCCCCATCATTCCTTCTCCTTTGTATGAAGATGGAGGTCACTTGGTAAGACCTGGGAAAATTTGTTACTGTAATATGTATTCCGGTTTAGATTTTTTTTTTATGTACATATTTATGGGTGGGTGGGTTATACAGTACTGTACAGTACATTAAATTTATATTTAAAATCAATTTTAACCATTTTGTCTGGTATAATTGTTCTCTAATGTTGAGATTTCTTTCCAGTGGTGTTAATTGGAGATTCTGGTGTTGGCAAGAGTAATCTTCTCTCTAGATTTACAAGGAATGAATTTAACCTTGAGTCAAAGTCCACCATTGGTGTTGAATTTGCCACACGCAGCATAGAGGTAAGATGAAGACAATAAAATTCCTTTACCACTTCTCGAGTCAGATGAACAATCTTAAAAACAACTACAAAATACCCAAATTCAAATATAGTTACTCATGCCAACTGAATAGTGTGGTGCCATCTTTGTTTATGTATGTACAACAGCAGACTACGTGTATTTTTGGCTACAGTGGCATAACTCAAGAGTGAAGAAAGCTACAGTATTTATAAAGTACTTGTCACTAAACTGTATAATCACCTTGACAACCCCTGGAGCTGTTGTCTTTATGGGGTCAGAAGGTTAAAGGTCAACATGCTTGCTTTGAAAAATGCACCAATCAGCAGGAGTTGGGATGTTACTCAAAAGTTGCCCAGTTTAATTCTTTTTCAGTCCAAGGACGACTGGTATGGTATTTATTTGTGCATAACGGTATGAAAAAACTTACTATACAGTCTAAATATAACATCACAACCTAAGGAGAATGTAAATTAAATGAATATCAAATTTCTATTGTTCAGTATTTTTTCTTCAAGTTTTCCAATAAGCATTTGAAAATATTTTAAAATGAGTTAGTCTATACAGTACAGTAAATTATATTTATACACATGGCAGACAGAAAATTTAAATGAGCAAGACTGTTTTTAAGAAATGGTGTTAACACCCATGAATAGGTTTTAAACCCACAGCACATATTGTTAGGGTATGGTGTTAGTGTGGTTATTATAAATGACTTGCAGTACATTGTTCCCCTGTATAGGTGGAAGAGCATTAGGGGCTCTGTTGAGAACACATGCTGTGATTAGAAGTAAACTTAATTTTGCGTATGATGAAAATTCTTTTGTAATGCTAGTTTAAAGGTTACGTAATAAAGCTGTCACCATCTTTAGATTAAGAAATTCTCAGAACATGAAAATTTTCTTACCTTTGAGTAACCAGTTCTGTAAAGATAAAAGTGAGTTTAGAGCTGCAAGAATTATGGATAGGGATAAGGTATTTTATGGTAACAGATTTATGCTTTTTACAAATTTGAAAGTGTGGCATACCAATACTTGGGAAAAAAAATGTGGCTGTTGCTTCAAGTGTAATTGTTCAAACTTTCAATAATTCTTTGTGCCTGTTCTGTCAGGTTGATGGAAAGACAATAAAGGCACAGATTTGGGACACAGCAGGGCAAGAGAGGTATCGAGCCATCACTTCAGCATACTACAGGGGAGCTGTAGGTGCTTTATTGGTGTATGACATTGCCAAACTGCTCACATATACCAATGTAGAACGTTGGCTGAAAGAACTAAGAGATCATGCTGATCAGAATATTGTCATCATGCTTGTAGGTAAGTTACCTTGAACACTATATTTCTTTGTCAAGGTTAGTACTGTATGGTATAACTAAAATTATTATTTGTGTTGGTATTTTAAAGAACAACATTTATTGGGAGTACAGGATTGATAGCATATTACATAAACAGTTACAGTATATTGTAACTGAAACGAATGTCCTTGAGAAAATTATTTGTACATTGTAAAATACACAGGATTTTAAAGATATTTTGAACACATTTCACTTAAGTGAGGAATTTGTGCTGAAAATAGGGGTTCATCAGGGTTCTGTCTTGACCACTCTTCTGTTTATCAAGGTGTTAGAGGTGCTGTCATTAGGACTGGTCTGCTCTAATAATAATAATTAACGGTTTATTGAAAGAGCTTGGCAGCCAGAAGGCTGAAAATATACAGTTACATATTTGGGGAATGGGTTTCGAATTACAAATAATATACAAGTAACATAAGTGACACAAATAAGATATATAATAACTCTGGGAACTGTTGTATGATTGATGATAATGTGTTGATAGCAGACAGTATTGAAGAGTTACAGTACAGTACTTTATCTTAGACAAGAATAAATTGGCTATAAGCTAATCAAATCAATTATTAGTGTTTTGTATTAGTGTATAAAACGGTACAATAACTAGGGAAACACGGGTTTATGTATAAGGATACCAATGAAAGACAGATTTGAGTTATACAGAGTCCTGTGGAAAGTGTTGGAGGTTTGGTCATATAGAGATATTGATGATATAGGTAATAGGTTAAAAAGAAATTATTTGATTGAACAGTATATATGGAGGAAATAGTGGGTATTATGTGATGGAAGGGCCTTATTAGAATACAGTATGAGGTTATGGATCTTTGTTAAGATGAGGGAGCTTGGAGGCATAGTGTTCTTAGCCACTTCCAAAGGGTAGGAAGTATTAAGATGTTGAGATATATAGATGAGTAATAAATTTAAGTGATATATAATATGGTTGCTGATGTAAACAGTCAATACATATATTTTTTGAAGGCACATAAGTGTATGCATATGGAATAAATTAATGTTGGTCATTGATTTCAGCCTAGTAGCCAATGCAGACATACTGTATGTATATTCCCTGTGGTACTCTGCACTAGCCAGTGTAATGTCGTTATTATAATTTATTAATACTATTGTGGAAATTATTCCTTCTCGTTGAATAGGTAACAAATCAGACTTGCGCCACCTACGGTCTGTGCCGACGGAGGAAGCCAAGGCATTTGCAGAGAAGGAAGGCTTGTCTTTTATTGAGACATCAGCGTTGGATTCCACCAATGTAGAGACAGCCTTCCACAACATCCTCACAGGTATGCAGAGACTTAACTTATGAGGAAATAAGTGCTACTATGGTCTTATATTGTTTGATTGTTTTAGATGTGTCTTATATTATAGTTTTATGACTGGCATTGATTGCATCTTATTATTTTAGCTTTATTGATTGCCTTAAAAATTTTGGTGAAATTTTTTTTAATTGCTTCAGAAATTTTATATCAAGTTGTAACACCAGTGAGGTTTCCTGTCCATATCATCAAAGGCATTTACATAGGCCTATATGCATTTTTTCTCTTTTTCAGTCCAGTTGTGTTGTTAGAGAATGATTTTTCCTTTTTTCTCCATATAGCTATTATATTTTTAGATATTGGAATGGTTGATCAGTTTGCCAACTGGAAGTTCATCATGTTTAAGTACTTACTAGCAAAATAACATTTGGTCCAACATTCACCTGAACTTTAGAGTGATTATTTTTTCCAAATCAGTTATCTAAATTCCATTAGCTACAGATTACAAACCTAGATTTTTTACCTTGATCAACTTATTTAATTTGGGCTTACACGTAATGTTTTGAAATATTTTTCCTTTGTGAAGTCAAAGAGAAAAAGGTAACTGGCAATAAAGTGAAATTACAGTAATTTTATTGTACGTAATAGCGTAATAGTACTACAAGTACTGTACAGTATATGGATAAGGCATGATGGGCATTAGAATGTGGCATCTTCTTAACCATTGTCTACATTATACGTAAAAGTAAATTACATTTATTTTATTTTGTAATGCTCTTGCATGCATAACATATGCATTTAGTGCTTTAAGCCACTGAAAATCAGTTGCAACTAAAATTATTGAATAAAAAAAATGTATGGAGGTAATGTAATATGGAATGTTTTACAAAAAATAATACTAGCAAGTTAGCAATATTAACAATTGACTAACATGTCTCCATTCTTTGCATGCTGGCTAGAAATTTACAGGATTGTCTCCCAGAAGCAAATTCGTGATCCTCATGACCACGATGACAGTCCAACAGCCGATGTAAAGGCTATTCACGTGGAACCAACTGTAAATGCCGAGAGTGTGCGCAAGCAATGTTGCCAGCAGTAGGGAGAGCTCCTCCTCACACCTGGAAATTTGGGCAAAGGGTTAGAGTCAATATTCATGTCCAGTAAAGGGATATATTGCACTTGCTCTTCCTAAATCTATGTTAAGCACTTTATTTCACCTCGTATGCGCTTTGTTGTACACAAACGAAATCATTTGGACCTGTCACGAGAAGAGTATGCTAATATGTTTGAAGGTGTGAACATTCTAAAGTAGAAGTAGTATAATAAGGTTGAATTTTTCAGTTTGTCACAGGAAAATCTCAAACCTTATTATCTTTCTTTTGATTAAAGACTATTGTTACACACAGCTTCCAACAGGCTACATCCACTTCTTGCTTGTATTCCAACTGCCTATGCTTGACAACTGTGACAAAAGGTGATTCAGCATGATTATGGATGTAAAGATTTGGGAAGAAACTCTAAATTTGCAGATTAAATGCATGAAATTGAACACTTATTAAGAAACTTCCATAAATTAATAAAGTAACTCAAATGTACAATAAGTGGCATGAAATTGATCCAGTTGAGTTTTACTAGAATTGTCTGACAATGCGGGTTCATTTTCTGGTAATGGAGACGTTCACTACATTATGCTTTTCTTTTTTTTTTTTGAAAGTGGAAGTAATTCACAAAATAGTTTCGGCTAAATGAAAACAAAAGTAATAGCCAGCCTGGGACATAATGCGTTGTTATTCAGCAGGAGGACTTGTGTAGTTTATCATCTATAGTAGTTGGCTTGTGTCTGTAGTACCTTGCTAAATAGCATGGCATGAATACATCTTGCTTGTATTATACTGTTGAGGTGGCAGGTACCATATTTTGTTCTCAGTAGGATTTAAGCATGATTTTTTCATTATTTTGTTTAATACATATATTCTGCTTCATGTGCTTTCTTTCTTTTAGGTATTTAAATGAGTAATATCACCCTCTGTCTGGTGACAAGGTCAACCATGTATACTGTATTTGTATATATCTTGGAAACCATTGACACAAGACTAATTCAGATCTTTAATCCTTAGAGTATACAGTATTGTATGTTATTTTTGCAGCATCAGTCTGAAAATCTCTTAAGCTCCCCATGTTTTCTTTTTCATTGGATAGTAAAGTTGAAGCTGTATATTTAACAATTATAGTGGTACAATATGTGTTGTTATCCCTTGTGTGTCCACTCTTTTCAGGATACAGTTAGGCATATTATTGACAAAATAAAAAACCATCAAAGTACTAAATAACTTTTTTAAGGCATTTAGCACATGATGCAAAACAGCCAGAAAGCTTAATACATATACAAATTTAACCTTAATTCATTCTTACTACAGGGAAAGATGTGTTCTGCTATGGTCCTCCCTTTTCAGATCAAGACTATGAAGCAGGTTTACCCCTGTTCCATTACACAAGTCAGCATCACTTATCAACTAAACATTTCCCTAAAAGTCTTTTAATGCTGTGCTCTGCTCATTCATACACGTTGTTGCCTCTTGGAAACTTGTCCCTGTTTTTTTTTTCCAATTCATCTTTTACCACAGGAACAGCTATTTTACCTTCTGAAAATGTTCAGAATATTGTAACTCTTTATGGGTCTACCTACCTAATTATCTACTGAAGAAAGTTTATACTGTTGAACAGGATTGCCAGGCTTGTTTTTGCTTTCCCACTGGGGTCTTCCACTACCCCTTTCTTGACGAATTGCACTGGCTTCCAGTTAAGCTAGGATCGAGTTCAAACTCTGCCAAATGACTTTTAAGGCACTTATGATTTTGTGTAATAGTGATGATCCCTCATGTTTTGAGGAGCCTAGATCAGTGTGGAAATGTTTTCTCGCTGCCCAATCTTTTTCCCATAGTTTAGCGCCCAGATTGTACAGTCGGTTTCATGCACCCATGAAGCATTTTACTGCTGTGGAGGCCTTTTAAGATTTTTTTTTAAGCTTTGGTCCTGAAAAGGGGGTTGGTGGTGGAGAATTATAGGGTTTAGGTAGTGTTACAACTGATGGATATATGAAATATATCTTGCAATTCATTTATTTATTTTTTTTCAGGCCCTCAATTTAAAACGAATCTTTCCTATTTTGCGCGAGTCAATCTGGTGCATCATATTTTAAATTTTGCGCCCAATGTATCTCTGGGCACACTACACTGTCCTAAAGGCAAAGCTGTACTGTACATGTACTCAAAATAATGCACTAAATGATTACTAAAATTTTTGTCATGCAAACTATAGCATGATTATATTCAAATTAATCATTATCTTATAAGAATTCCAGCAATGTAAATTATATTCTCCCCGGTCACTTCTGTGATATTTTATAGACAAAAAACAAAAACTCAATCTAAAGGACATGAATAAACAAATAAATACTTCACTAGACCTTCGGCGCCAACTGTCAAACCTGTCACTGTCACCTCCTCCCCCCTCCCCCATTTTTCCAGCCAGGATTTGGTGGTTTTAGACTTACAGTTTTTATCTTATATAATATCACATTCTAAAGTTAGGAGAATATAATTTGCATTGCTAGAATCCTTGCAAGACAACGAATAATTTGAATATAAACGTCAAATATTTTGCACAAGAGATAAAAGTTTTAGCCCTTTAAGAAAATTAGTTAGAACTAAAATTTGCATGTCTAATGCGAACTATAGCATGTTTATATTCAAATTAATCACTAACTTACAAGAATTCCAGCAATGTTAATTATATTCTCCCAGGTCAGTTTAGTGACATTTTTTAAGATAAAAAATTTGTCACTCTTAAGGACAGATAAATAAATAAGCACTAGAGCTTGGCACCAACTGTCAAACATATCACCTCCCTCCCTCCTCTCCCCCATCTTCCCAGCCAGTAAACAGACCATTTTGCATCCCTTAATTTTAGCTGTGTTGATTTATGAGTGTTTGTTTTAACATAACACTACAAAAAACAATGTTTTGTTTATTCTAGGAGATGGGCTGAGGTGCATCTGGGTAGACTCTCAGTCTTTTTAGTATTTTGTGTTTCTCTCAAGTACCAAACTAAATTATTCCATTAAAACAACACTTTCATTTAGTGTGAATTTTGTTTAAAGGACCTCTATCTAGCGCGCTCTACTGTATTATTATTAACACATTCAGTTTTGTGACCTCATGCTGCTACTCCCCTAATTTAATGTTTGGTTTTCTCCAATTTTCTTTGTACCCAGTAATAATTACGATACACTATTTATACCCCATTCTTATCACCTCCATTTTGATAAGGAACTTCAAATGATCTAATTTTTTTTATCAGTCCCTTGTAAAGATCGACAAGTGTTTGTAATTCAGATATAGGAGGGAGGGGGAAAAATTATGAAGGTACCTTGATGGAACCAGGGTAACATTACTAACTTTTTATCTAAACTAACGTATCTTATCCCTGTGGCTTTCCACTAATTAGACTGCCTCCCCACCAAGATGTAGTGAACACCTTGGCCCGGGGTTTGCGACTGGCTAGGAGTGATGGTTGGCAACTAGGTGATTTTAATCCCCTCCATCTCATTGTACTGGGTCTTGTAACTGTATTGGCGGACTAGCCGAGCAGCTGATGCGCACAACAAAGCGTATTTCTCATAAGGCTGTCGTTAATCGAAGTTTTGTTCGTTAGTGGAACTGAAAATCCTTATGGGAGCTAATTCGTTAACTGAAATTTTGTTAATTGAACCGTTCGTTAATTGAGGGACCACTGTATTAAGTAATTTTCACCTAGTTACAACAATGAAAAACTATAATTTTTCCTGGTCATTCATAAACTTAATTAACATTTTTAACTTTATTAAGGAATAGAGAAAATTTATAAATAGAGTGAAAGTACGGGAATTATGTGTTAAGTATGAGGGTGGCACTTGATATAATTTGGTGCTCTTTTATGGATTGTGGCAGACCAAGTAGGAGGTGGTTAATTACTGTAAAAGACTTAACCAATGATATTAATGTGAAAGTATATTTCAAATTCACGAGTTTTGTTTGTATACATATATTGACAACATTAAATGATAGTGATGTTGGTACCAGCTGTTACTCCATCTGGTGTTACAATAAACATACTGTACTGTTTAAACAAGTAGGGAAATGTAGAGAGTATTATTTAAATATTGGTGTACTGTACCACTGAAATTGTAAAGCTGTGCTGTATTTGTTATATATAGTTTAAAATATGAAACTACTTGTAATATTAATCACAACCTATCTTGATTCTTGCAGAAATCTATCGCATTGTCTCGAGGCAGCAGCTCCCAGACAGTGGAACGAATGAGCCTCCTGGCGGTAAATCAATCACTGTGGAGCCCACCGAACCCCCCAGCGGATCATCCTCCAACAACTGCTGTGCCCGCTAACCCTCTCATCCCCATTTTACTGAAAAGCCTCTAGCGTTCCGTCTATTCCAAGCCCACCTCCAAGTCCTTATTCTTGACACCTGTCTTATGTTAATATCAACACAAATAACCACACACTCATCACTCAGAAAATTGCAGGTTGGTGGAAGACAATGTCTGGTTGCAGGGGTTCTAAGGTTGTTTGAGGACATGATAAATATTGTTTGCTCATCTTTAATTCAATCTCTGTTTATCCTCCTTGTTCTCCACCAATCTACATTATTATCAGCAATCTCTGCTGCTCCAGGCTGATGTTCCCCTGGGTTAGTAATAGCATTACAGTGCTGATTTTCAGTGTCTGCCAAGGGAGAATTGGTAACAAAGAAATGTGTGATTAAGAATCTACATTATATACTTTAACAAAAACATGTATTCTAAGATTGATATGAAAAAAAAAACATTGTAAGGAGTAGGTTTGCCATCTGTCTGTTTTTTGTGCAGATAAATATAATAAGCACCTAAAAGTATGGATTGCTGTATTTTCTTTTCATCATGCCATGTACGTTTGTTTAGTTTGAAATTTGTGTTAAGGCTACAAAACAGTGGATTAGTCACATCTAAGCAAAAAAAAAATAAGAAAAAATTAAAAAAAGGGTGATTGGAATTTTTATTTATTTGTTACCTAGGTCACATTGTATATTAATTGCAAGCACCATTACACCCATCCCATGTACTGTAATAAGCAGAAAGCTTTCTTGCTTTCATTCTAGCCGTCTTATAACTGCAGCATTGAAGTATAGAAAAGTGTCAGTCCTTATCCTATTAAAGGAAAGTCTCCCAGCATCATGTTATTGGGTGATCCTTTGTGGAAAGTGGATTGTGATCACATACCTCAGTAATGCAGACTTTGTTCTTATTTACAGAGGCATGAGAGCCCTTGTTCATATCAAGTAAGCTGGCTGGTAGACACTAAACAGACAGAGAACTGTATTGGCTGCCTTATTTCCCTGTCAGTGATACCCAGTAGTTTTAATTGCATAACCAAGTGTGAAACGTGATTGATTGGTGTGGAATATACACCTCATATTAGCTTTAGGGTAAATAGTAGTTTTTCCAGTTAACTTGGGTAGATACTTGTTGGTACCTAAGTTTTGCAGGTGAACACCAGTGGGAGTGTAAGTCTTTTGTTGCTGTGTGATCTGGAGTTGAGTTGCTGTCACATAATTTGAGATTGTAAGTCAGTATGAGCTCTTACCAAATTTAATAAATAAGCACAGCCTACAGATTGTCTTGCTGGGGAATTAAGTCCTTTCATGTTTGCCAAATATTGTCTGTCAGATTTATTTCTCATTTTCTTTCCTTTCATGTTGGTATGTTGCCTTCTGCCTTGTGTAAAGCTTCTCTTTTCAGTAGGACTCACAATCTTAATGAATATAATGTCAGTGAATATCTTTTTTTATTGTAATTATTATCATCATCAAGTATTTACAGAACAGCTTTTTGCAAATGGATTAAAGAAGTAACACATAAGAACATACAGTATCATTGAGATGTAGCTAAAGTTACACCCCTTCATATAATGGACTGTAATGATGTTCAAGTCTTGTGCAAAAATCATTGCAAACAAAAAAGCACTGGTTTCAGACCTTTCCTGGATTTTTTCCCCTATGTTCTGCATAGCATTTGAAATAGTTTGCCATCCTAGTGGGGCATAGTGACTATCCTCAAAAGAATTCTGAAATGGTTTTAAACTGCATCATGACTCCTTGATTGGTAAGGATGATGCTAGAGCAATTTATTTTTTTTTTCTTCAAGAAACTGATGAAAAATATAATATGATCTAAAGTATAGAAAAAGGGGTATTCTAAAAACTAATGTGAATATCAGCAGGATTTTATATTGTGGCCAAACCAGTGAATGAAGAGTTGAGAGTTGAAAAGGTCAATCTTGTTGACTGTTTAGTAATCATCTTGTCCAAGGCATAGTATTTGACTAAATAAGAAGATTAGTTTATCTTCAGGTAATAGTACAGTGTTGATCAGTGTGATTTATATGGGTTAAATTTTATATAAGTTAAATAAAAAAAATAAGTTTTATGTAACATATAGTACAGTAGTTATTCATACAGTCAGAACTCTGTCTCACAGGTTTTATTTTGGTAAGTGTAGTTTCAAAGAAAAGGGATTTAGTTAATGATGTTATTGTCTTGGCTAAGTTGATTGTTAAAGTCAAGTCATAAACTAATTGGCTGTGTTTGGATTAAAAAGTCGCTTAACAGTCATGATTGCTGGTAATTATAGTAAAAGAATGTGTACATATATATATATATACAACAACATTTACATAATTGTTGGACAGTGATTATACTGTGGGCCTACACTAGGCTTAGAATAATTGTCAGTTGAAAAATAATAACTTTTGCTTCTTAAACATACCCTCGATCTCATGTAAATAAGAATCAGCAATCAGGAATGATATGGGACTATTTACAATGCAAACCTTGCCGACATTCTCAAGGTGGAAGTAGATGTGTTGATGTCTTACCTATTGTAAGGGGTGCTTTCTGAGAGGAGATCTAGTATGCCTCTGAGTTCTATCTGTAGTATGTTTCCTATGGGTTAATATAATCATAATAATCATTTTGAATAAGTTGTATATGTGCTTATTAAGTTTTTTTTCCTTGGTGATTCAATACCAAATTGTCTGTACGAGACAATATTAGCAATTGGGAGCCTTTTGGTGTACTTCTTTAAGACTCAAGCTTATCAAACTACACAGTGTTTGTCTTAAAAAGGTAATGCTCTAGGCATTATTGTTGCCAATATTGTCTTGTATAAATGTGATTGACATGTCAAGTGTAGCCCTGGTTTCACGCTTGCATAGGAAATTTTGTAAAGCAATGTAAAGAAGCACATTATTTGCAATAAAACAATGCTAAATATTTACAAACTTTAAAACAGTATTTTTACCCTTGTGTGTAATAATCATTGAGCCATTTGGTGGAATTTTTTTTATTGAATAAAATGGTATAAGTAAAAAATAGAGGAAAAGCTTGAGATTTGGCAATTTTCAGACAAAGTAATGTGGAGTTAAAAGTGTGCAGAGAATTAAAATACAGAAATTAAATGATGTGGATATGATAGGGGTGTTTGAGAGAGCTGAACAGGTCAGTTAAAATGCTATGGATAGTACAAATGTATAAGAACAGAAGGTGAGAGATAAAAAATGAATCTGTAATTTAAGAGACGATGGTAAAAGAGAGAAGACCAAGGAGATGGAAAGATGGGATGACATACACTTTGAAGTGAGGGAAGGATATTTACATGAGGCAATGGAGTACAGTTCAAGGATAATAAGGAAGCATGGCATGGAGTGGGTTTTGAGAATAGTGATATTTTGTGGATGGTACAGCAGCAACAGTGAATAGAGAATCTGCATTTGTTCTTGCATCCAGCTGTTATGCAATGAAGCAAGAACAGAACTTGTGGATACCATAAACGCAGAAGGTTCCAGTGCTTGTCATTGAGCCAAAATTCCATAAATCAATCACAAGTACAAAAGATTGTCTGAGTTACTTTTTTTGAGTAAGAGTCGTGAACTCTTGGAATAACCTGCCAGAGAGTGTTGTGAAAACAGTGTGAACTCATTTAGTCTAGATTTGACCAACACTAGTGCATGTTCAGCTACAGTACATTCAAGAGCCCACGCATACCCAGAACTTGCCAATGTCAACAGTGCATAATAGACAAATAACAGACTGATCGAACGACTAAGCAAGCCTCTTGGGGGCAGAGGATAATTATGAAAACTGACATAAATTAAAGTACTTGACTAACTAAAAGAAAACAAAATTGGTTTGATTAATGTCCTTTTTCATAAGTGATTGAATGTTGTTCATATGAAAACTTTACTCGTACTGGACTGTACTGTACGAAGTTTCAGTGACCTTGTAGTGGACTCCATCCCCTACAAGGGACAACTGAGCCCCCGCGCGCCTACCAGCCAATCAGCGTACAGCCAGCGGTGCCGGTAGACCTACTCTCCAGCGCAGACGCACACGTAGCAACGCTAGGACCAGAGTGCCGGGTGTGCTTGGCCTCCTCTGCGATTGGCCCTCTCGCTACGCTCACCCCAAATCCTGAACCTCGCAAATTGTATAAATACGGCCATGGCTGGCCAGGGAGACCGGTTCTAAACTTGAACTGACACAATCCGGAGGAGTGGTGACCCGAGGATCACACACCCAACACAGACAAAACCAAATACGTGCGCTATGCGCTAACCAAATAAACGCAGTCTTGTAAAGCCACGGCACTATCTCTCCCACTACAAATCCCTTCCTAACCTCCTCCTCCTCCTTCCTCTGTCATCTTCCCCGCTCTGCCTTTCGCTACCAACGACTTTTTTGGAGCTTCTAAACTTGAACTGAACCAGGGAGACCATTCTACTCTGACCTACAGGACCAGCAAGATCTCTCTCCAGCGCCTCACCACCCAGCTCCCTCAGAGAGCTCCTCGCCCTGCAGGAACTCCTTAGCACTACTCTGTACAACAATATATATATACAGAAAACGCATCGTGAGTTTCTATTCTACCTCATTCCTGAGTGTGAGATATCTACATGTACGTACGTTGTGTGGCCATACAAAGAGATAATAGACATCTAAAGATAATTGACTACTGGCCACAATACAGTACATAGGACAATGACATTATTTGGATATTAAACCAACGATATCTAATATATATAAAAATATCATTTGTGTCTGAAATTCTGGAAAAACCGATACATAAGTTGAATATTACAGGTATGAGCAAAAAATATATGGTAAAGAGCCATGGATTCGGTCATCAACAATAACATTGGCCTCCGTCCCACCTGTGAGCTCTGTCAAGCTTCTCAAGCTTCTGTGTGCACGGTACTAGACCAAGCTTCTGTGTGCACGGTACTAGACCAAGCTTCTGTGAGTACTTATTATAATATGAGTACTATTATAATGTACGTGATAATTATTGATAACTTATTCTGTAATTATTGGGAAGATGGAGGGCCAAGTACAAGTTTTATCAAGGAATTTGAGAATGAATGCAGTAGTTATAGCAATCTTGTATATTTCCTTCATAATTTCAGTGTTTGCCTTTCATACGCTAATGAAACAGAGGGTAATAGGGTAATTTTCATTTACACCGTAACTACTGCATTTAGAGATTTATATAATATATTATGTTACCTTTTCAGCATCACGAATCAGGTGTCGAAAATTGAACAAAAGGATTGATATATTTCATATTACATTAATTTCGAAATGAAGTTGATGAACTGTTGCTTGGCAATATCAGTATTTTCGGTATTATTGCGTTTACACACCGTTCATTCCTACCACTAATCTATTATCATATTCGAATAAGACGTTTTATTATAAGATAATTTTCATCTATTATATTACCGGCGGAAATGTATAATAACTGAGATAGCTTTTCCCAAAAAAAATTCTATTTTCTTCCTTTAACCTCCCACCATTATCGTTTGCCTCTCACCCAACACTGCGTGTCTCGCGTTTCCTTCATAAATCATGACGCGCATGCGTAAACGTACATGTCACGCGGCCAATCAAAAACGTTTTCTCTTTTGGAACCAATTAAAATGATTTTTGAGTTTAATTCATTGTATATTTGGTCCAATCAAAATCGAGTTTTATTTTGGGTCTCTCATATTTTGAAATTCAAGTTCAGTTCCGACCATGGAAGTCTGCGATGGATGTCACTTAAAGTATGGAGCTGATTGCGAGTTTTTTGAAAAAAAAAAAAACACGTAGAAACTATAGCATTTTTTCGATCACATGGTATTCTTCCAACCTCAGTAAAGTGTACTAAGAGCAAGACTGAACGTAAATATCACAAAGACCAACATATGTGGCGTTGTTTAAGAATCCCAGAATGCAACGACGAACAAGAACAAGGCCAATAAGGTAAGAAATAGGTGATTCCATCATATGGTGAGAGTCAGTTAGGTTAGATTAGGTTAGGTTAGGTTTTTGTTTTTCTAGTGTTTTTTTTTTTGTATTTTTTAGTCGCTTAGCCACTTTTTTTTTTCGGAAAACGTCAAACGAAAAAAATCGCAAAAAAACGGCTAAGTGTCGCCCAAAATGAAGGTCATATTCGGTCCAAACACACACAAATACACTAGAAAAATATATTTTTTACTTGCTAAAAGTGAACCGTATTTTCTTTAAACATCATCGATCACTAAAATACAAAATAAGTCAGCTAATCCCAGTCTAAGCTTCCAGTTATCAATTTTATCTCAGAAGTTATCTTAGACGATTTGGTTAGTGGTAAATTGGCTTTGTATTACAATATGAAATGCTGCTATTTTAAAACAGTTTATAGAGAATATAACAGATGGTTCTTATTTATCTTTTAGGCCTTGGTTATTTGTCTGGCTATGGACCTTTACTTTTGCCATTTGTCTGGCATTTGTTCTGATTGATGAAGGCTGATGACGTGGATCCTCAGTTACTTCCAAACCTAACCTAACTTAACATAGATAAAGAATTGTTTTATGCCATAACAGGAATTTGAATATGTAAATAGCTTTTTCTTATGTTTTATATGGTGATTTGAACGAATATGACTTTTATTTCCAGTGTAATACTTATTAATGGACATATGATCTCTTTAACACGAGTAACGACTGATTTCTTTCACAGTGGGTAGGGCATATTCATTAAAATGACCATAAGAAAAACCTATTTCTGTTATCAAATTTATGTTGTGGCATAAAACAAATCTTTGCTCTAACCTAACCTAATCTATCCCCCGGAAATAAAAATTAATTAATCAGTGTTTGTGTGAACTTCTGAAATACTGTACTTAAATCAAATTAAGGTATTATTTGGATCGTGACTATAAACGCCTTAGTTAAGGACGTTCAGGTTACAGGCAAGTCGAAGGGAATGATTGAAACCCGTCTTTTGACGCATTCAATATTTATTGATGTGGTCAAAACCTGCAGAGGAGAAGGCATTCATAATATTACAAGGTGATCCATCTGATACATAATTAGTTAGTCTCACACAATTTTATCTTAATTACAATTTATTAAACATACTGACATAACACAAAGTTCATAACTCTGTTAATCTTAGCTTCGCTTCATTCTGCATTGTCTTATTACTCCAGGTTAGGCAGAAATGAGTAGGCATAATTAGTCAACAATATTTCAGTACCGAGGGGTATGTCATCACTTAGGCTGTACTTACAAGTGAGGGTCAATGCAGATCAGTATGGTGTTCCAAGAGACAACAGTATTGCGTAAATCGTCCCAGCACAAATTCTCGGACAGGAGAAGGCTGGTCTTCCCAGCATCACTAGAGAGGGCGATCTGTCTCATGGAGGGGCGGGCAGCACCGCCACCAGTCTAAGGCAGTCCACTCAGCAGAACCAGGACTTGTCTGTAAACACTCGTACATCTGGCGAGGTCACAGGTCGAAAGATTTAATGGCATCACACGCCAGCACTGTAGCTGAAGCCAGCGGCGATAACAATAACTGTCTGCTGTTTTTAATTTAAAATGGGTTTAAAAATACCTATTTTTCACTGATTTTATTAGGATACCAGTACTGTATATTGTATTATGTTGTGAAAAAAAAATGGCTGAAATCATGTGCTAAACTAACCTAACCTATATCTTAATTTGCCTACATCTGGAAAACTAAGCTTTTTACACAAGAAAATGAATGTAATCAGCATACAAAACTGTCTAAAAAACACCCTTATAATTACTGAACTGCTGACTGTCAGGAGTCCTATATTAGCCCAAATTAATATTTGGAAATAAGTTCTTTTAGGAGGTAGATGATGTGTACATGAATGCAATTGCATTTCCTACTAAGTTTAATGGTGGTGATGGATTATGCACAAGGTTCAGTAGCCGGGAGTGAGAGAGGCTAAGAGAA